GAGGGGGGGGGGGGGGGGGGGGGGAAGAAGAAAAGAGGGCTTCCTTGCTTCTGCGATTTCTGCAATTTTACCCTTTACTTTGTTATTGCAAAATGAAAAAATTCGACTCGCATGCCAAAAACGTAACCGTAATTTTCTTGTTTATATTTTCGGAACAATCGGTCACTTCAGGGAAAAACTACACTTGTGTAAAGGCACCGAATTAGTGTTTATTTTCTTTTCACTTTGGAAAAACGCTCTGGTGAATGACAAATCTAACAAGGCGAGAGCGGTGAATAAAAGGGGGAGGACGAGGTATCCACTGAGGTGGGCAGCGCAAAACGGACAGAGTTTCGGGTTTTTAAAACAATAAAAAAGATTGAGAAATGGACAGAAACTGGAAAAAGAAATGGTGCGCTCACAGCAGGACCGAGCGAGTTAAAAAGAGCTGAAAAAGACAGGGATCAGTTAGAGAGAAAGTAGAACTGACTGAAATGGTTTTTCACAGCGGGGAAGAGAAGGACAGAGTAAGACGCTGAATGAGGGAGAGGAGGGAAAAAAACAACAGCAGAATTAATGTTTTGACAAGTTGCCCCGAGTAAGTGCAGGGAGCGGAGCAAAGTGAACAGGATGAAAGACGAGGGCACCCGGGAGCTGTTTTCCATGAGACGCCACTCAATCAAGACTTTTTGTTTTGGTCGCACTTTTATGATTTGAGCGAGGTGTCTTGCTACCAAAATCCAGGTATAAACATCAGAAAGCTTTTCTTACGAGCATTGGTGCATTTAGCGATATATAGACGAGTGAGGGCATGCATTTCACTGCGACACATTGGCAGCTTTTGGGGATCCTTCAAGCATGAGACTGTTGCTGTCAGGGGGAACAATTTCACTGTTACACTCCATGAACAGCAGAATCCGTCATTTGCTACATTAAGTTACTTTCTATATATCAGACTTTTAATAATTCACATGCAGCTCAAAACATTTCAAATGAATATAAAAGCTTATTTCACAGCGTTAACCAACCATCCAACCAACTTGTGACCCGATTCCCTCTGGTATTACTGATCTATTTGCCGTCCTTAGCATGTTCTGTTTCCCATGAGCCTGACCATTAAGGCTCAAATTACCTAGCGAAATGTGCTCGACTTAATTAAACTTTAAATACAGCTTGCTGCTGGTGCAGCGTGACTGAGATTTAGCTCCAGCTGCGGCTGTAACGTTGTTTCCACGGCTCTGGTTCTGAGGCAAATGCTGACAGGACCCTCAGTCGAACACGGACTGTCAGATAAAAGACCTTCCACAGGAAGGAACCGAAGTCGGTTTGTGGCACTACCAGGAGGAACAAACACCAGCCGTGCAAAACATGCCCTGGCGCAAAGTCCCGTCACACACCTCTCCTTTTATTCGTCTTTACATGCAAGTGATCAGAGGAAAACAGCACAGGGAAAATGCTGTAAAGGTGTGCAAGAAGGTATTCGGAAAAGATGGAGGGGCTGAAAGTGAAATGTGGTGGAGAATGCAGAGATATTTGAAAGCAAAGGAGGATAATAAGTGCAGAGATTAATTTTAAATGTTACTTTTATGCTTGTAGAGAAGAACGATTCAATGAAATACATTTTAGTTGATGTCAGGGAGGGTTGAACCCGCAATAAATATTACAATTTAATGCCAAATAAAAGATACACACAAAATTGCAATGGTATCTCTGTTGTTTAAAATAATTTTCTTGTCATGGATGACAAACGTTAAATGGCCGAATCAAAAATGAAACCAAAATAAATAAATAATTGTTTGTATAGAAGTGAATACATGAAGACAGTATGAATTCTGCTAAAGAAAAAAGAAATGAGATACAAAATGTCTCTAAAACATTATGAATAAAATATAAATATAATTAAAAAAATTAATTGTGTAATAAATAGAGCTGTCAAATGATTAATCGCAATTAATCGCATCCAAAATAAACATTTTTGTTTACATAATATTTGTGTGTGTACTGTGTATATTTATTACGCATAAAGACACACACATACAGCATATATTTTGAAAATATTTACATGCATTTACATGTATATATTTATATTCATATAAATTATATAATATATAAATATATTTAATATATAAACGTAACATATTTTTCTTAAATATATACATGCATGTGTGTGTATTTATATATGCGTAATAAATATACACAGTACACACACATATATTATGTAAACAAAACCTTTTATTTTGGATGCAATTAATCACGATTAATCGTTTGACAGCACTAATAATAAATAAATTGTATTTTGTATTATGATATTATATTATATTAAATACAATTATATTTTATTGTATTATATACCACTAATTCATACTGCACAGTATTTACTCAAAATCAATACAAAAATACAAAAAATGTGCATTACACATTGACACAAGAATTAATGAATACTTATGTTAATAGGCCAACCAAGCACATTTGTCAGCCAAAATGCATAGAAATGGTCAAATATATATGTATGAATATAAATAGATGTGTCTATAACTATTCAGGAACATGATGCAAGGGCTAGATGGAATGAGAAGAGAGTCGAGACTGTAGTGGATAAGACTCTGATTAGTTTTGCTCCGGTAACGACAGATCATAAAAATGAGGGAGGGAAGGAAAAAACTAAAAGAAAGTGTGGGGGAGATTAGTGCCACTCCAGGAATGACTAAACACTCGGAGGAGAAAGAAAGAAAAAAGGAGGGAGGGAGAAGCAGGGATGCTACAGTTTAGTCTGGATTAGTTTCGGTCAGAGAACAGAAAAAGAGGGGAAAAGATAGGGAGAAAGGGAAAGAGAGGGATAAAAGAGATGGACCATCTGAAGCGAGAGCATGAGAAGGGCATGTGCAAAGACGAGGAAGAAAAGTTGTCATTCCACGCATTCATTAAAGCACGGATAAAGTAAATGTTAGTTCAAACGAATGAAGAACCTTTTCCTCCTCAAAACAACAAAAAACTCCATCTTTCCTTATCAAATATTTGCTCCTAACATAAAAACACATCCACCTCAGATCATTCTCAGCTACAGATGCTTCACATACAAACATTTCAAATCAATTGCACAAACATTTTCTGCTCCAACCACAAACTAGAAACTAGATATTTCTCATTGAAGGTTACGCAACACTCAGAATTGAGCAAAACATCTCCTTAAAGGCTTCAAGAATCTGATTTCACAACAGAGAGTTTCTGTTTGATTTACTTGATGTGGAACAAACGCAATGGTTATCCACTTTTCAAACTACGAAAAAGTAACGGAGATATTTAAATACAGTGCTATTGATCTCAAGTCAAACTAGCCAAATGGAAAAAATTTTCATAGCTGATTTACTACAAATGGTGTCAAGAAAAGTTCGAGAGATTGTGAGAGGCCAGAAGGCAGGTTTGGGGCCACGACAGGACTTGGATATTGGGTTCGACAGCTTCTGAGTTGGTGTGCATGTGTGTGAAGCAGGAGGTGGAATTGGGTCGGACGGCTTACGGACTGGACTGCCATTCCCACTCTTACTGAGCGGCATTCCCTGCTGATCCCGCATCAGCCAAGCCGAGCGGAAGGTCAACATAACTGCAGGGGTCTGAGAGCCAGCCTCTCTCTACGCACAGGACGCACACACACACACACACACACACACACACACACAGTCCCAGTGCCAGATAAAGAGCGTAGCCTAAAGCTCTTGTAATTTGTTTGTATTTTCTGCCTAATGTAGTTTGCTCAATCTTGTTTAGTGCTGATGGAAAGCGATTGGCCTTATCTGGGTTTGCCAAAGGCATGAGCGTCTGACAGCGCTTGAGCGGCGTTCCACACAAACACACACATACACTTTCACACATCATGCTATAATAAAAGGAAAAAGAAATGCCAAATATGTGACCCTAGACCACAAAACCAGTCATAAGGGTCAATTTTTTGAAATTGAGATTTATACATCATCTGGAAACCGAAAAAATAAGCTTTCCATTGATGTATGGTTTGTTAGGATAGGACAACATTTGGCCGAGATACAACTATTTGAAAATCACATATAAATATGTACTAATTACTTAAAAATGAATAAAATATCAATTGACAACAGTTTATAATAAATTAGATTTTGTTGCTGTACTATTTATACTTACAATCTATAAAAATATACATTCAAATTCCCATTTCAAAACAAATGCATTTATCATCATTTAAATGTATTTTTTAATTTATATATATATATATATATATATATGTACATTTAAAGTCACTTGACTATACACAGTATTTTTTCTATATTATCTACAAAAAAATATACATATGTCGAATTCCAATTTTGAAACAAATACAAATGTATTTTTATTATAATAATGTTTATTGTAATTCAAATTACTACTACTACTACTAATTATTATTATTATTATTATAAATAAATATAATAAATATGATAAATAATATTTTTTCGTTTGTTTTTTAATATACATACCTTATTTGTATATAAATTAGATTGTGTTATATTTTTTATCTAAAAAAAATACAATACAAATTCCAATTTCAAAACAAATGTAATTTTTTTTTATTAATGTTTATCATAATATAAATGTGTTATAACATTTGTTATTATTATTATTATTATTATTATTATTATTATTATTATTATTATTATTCAACACAGAC